AGTAAAGCGCATCGCTGGGGCCCTTTGAATTGTTCCTACCGCTCTGTTGGAACGGTGTAGCATCCAATAATAGGATCCAGCAAGCAGAAGCATCCACCCGCAGCAACGACCATCTATTTGCCAGGACGGTTCAGCAAAGTCATCAGATGAGGACTTCCACAAGGCAGTTCATCCAGTAGGATCCAAGGCACCAAAAGGGCAAACAAACCAGCCTACACACAAGTGTGCAGAAGAATTAACTAAAATATTCATAAATCTCAGTACCACTGACTCAGTGTCCATATCACTAATGGCTTATTAACAGTCTTACCATCATAATAATACAGGTTTGTCAAAAGAAAACATAACAGAACATGAATGCTGTTAACAACGCTTATTAATGCTGTTCTCTAAGGCACAACATAACTCTGTAACTGACCTCGTGTCGGCCGCCATTTTAGGACATTAGCCAGGCTCACTTAACGGCTAGCTTGCTAACAGTCAGCTAATAACACACATTACACAATATTTAGCCTCTTTCTTAACAAACATGACAGTGGTAGATTTGATACCTCGCTGTAGCATAATAAGGCACAAAACATTTCATACGAACATGAGCTGCAAGCTAACTCACCAGAGAGGTTCGTGTAATGGCGAATGGCTGTCGGATTCAGCTCAGCTTCACGTTCGTAACCACTACAAGACTCCTTTTTCTAACAACATATTAAATCATTAGCTTCACATATAAAATGTTTTTAAACTATTTACAGCAACTCAAATGTCTACTGTACCCGAATTTCCAGCTCGCAGAGGGCACGAGAGCAGCATGCGCCTCATCGGACGAACGGAAGGAAAAACTATGTAGCTGAACTAGAGAGTGGTTATGCGCACGGCACAGTGCGTTCAGTGACTACAAATAATCAGAAATCCCATACTCAAACAATGATCTGGGTTACATTAGCACAACTACTTTCTGCCATACCATCACCCTGAGCCAAACTCAAGAAAAAAAACAATCAAAAAACAAGCACTGTAAATCAGCAGTCCCCAACCCCCAGGCCTCGGACCGGTACCGGTCCGTGAGTCGTTTAGTACCGGGCCGCGAGAGTTGAGGCTCAGGTGTGAAATGTATGGTTTTCAGGGTTTTTATCGGTTTTCAGCGTTATTTTGTTATCGTTTTTATCGTTTACTCGGTTTTCCTGGGTCTTTTCACGTGTGTTATGAATAAATCTTCTTTTTTTCGGTACCAGTACTCGTTTTATTTTGTTGTATTTATCCGCGACACCTTAAAGGCTGGTCCATGAAAATATTGTCGGGCATAAACCGGTCCGTGGCGCAAAAAAGGTTGGAGACCGCTGGTGTAAATAACACAAGGCTGTTGGTCATCGTTATTAAAAGTTGCAATAGTTAAAATACCATATCAATAATATCCTTCAACACACTTGTAATTTCATTAAACCTAACTAGTCCATTCACTGATACCTTCTAATCAGTCCTACCTGTGAATTCTTGGTAGGGACTAATATCTCATTCTTCTATATAGTAATTGTGTGTCTGTTGTAAACTGATAGGACCTGGCGTCCACATATGTGGACATCACATTTTTGGGTTATTTAGACCAAAATACTCAATTTTGCTCTACAAGGGCCTGATATCCTCTTACGAGGACATTATACTGCTACTGTTCTATCAAAATTTTAAACGAATATCCTCATATGTGGCGCTTATTTTTCTTAAAAACAAAAATAAGGTAAAAAAGAAAATCTGGTAATTCTTTGTTTTTACATTCATGATCACATATGCCCAAATATCAAAGAGAAATTAAAAATGTATGCCATGGAAGAGTTCGGGTCTTAGGAGGTTAAAGAACCTAAAGTGTCCACCTGTTCAATTTCCCAGTCCTAATATTACATTGATTATATCTGGTCTTTCTCAAAAAACAACTTTTCTTGAGACCATTTTCAAAAGATTTCAGTTGCACAGTTCAGTTTCTCATGACAACCAGCTCTCTTATGACGTGACACATCAGAAAGGCACGACTGGTCAAGACAGAGCAGTCAAATTCATCTCACTTGATCTTTAAAAATCAGATCAGATTTTTTAAATTAAATTTTATTGTTTATTGGCAAGGTAGAAGTACAAAAAAATGTACTGACAGCTGCAAAGACAGCATCCTGTGTATATGCATAAAATCCAACTTAATTTCATTGGTTCATTTTGAAGTACCTTTGTATAGTACTGGGTAAGTACGCACAATGATAAATCTGAAACAGACAAAGAAAAAAAATCATTTTCTGATCATCAGAACTTAACTGTGCTGGAGAAAGTTTGAGATTCTTTAAAGTGGTTTAAATTTGCAGCTTTGGACCTCAGGAGAGTATTTTGAGAAAGCAATGCAAATGTAGAGCGGGACACAGAATAACTGCTGTAAATAAACAAAACTAAAAGCCTTGAGACAAAGCTCATTTCTTTCCCTACCAGGAATTTGCACGTCAGGATTGCATGACTTTGTTTCAGTAGCATTGTTATGACTGTGAGCTAAACTCCAGCCACAGAACAGCACTATATCATAAAATGTCAAAATCCATCTTTCAAGTTGATTCAGTGTCACACACCCTGCAGAGATCTGATTAATGTGATTGATCTACCTGCTTTTATGCTATAATGCTTTTATGTTCATAGTTAACATTCACATGTTAACTATGAACAGACTGATAAACTTTTTTTTAAAATATTTTATCCAGCTGTTATCAATCTGTACTAGTTAAACTCAACAGAAGAGTATTGAGGAAATAGTAATACATTTACTAGGAAACAGTCTCAGTGTAGTTGCCATTGTCTAAGCTCAAACTCTAGTATATATTGAATACATCTATATCTATATATGTGTTTGAACCTGAGACTACACACCTTTAAAGTGGGAGTCACAAGTTGGATTCCCACCCAGTATCCAGTAAGGGTCCTGGTAGACCCCCTGAAATGGCACGGCTACGTCTGCAGCCTGCCCGCAGCTTGGACACAAGCATTTTACTACATGTTGTTCTTTGGGCATTATTTGTGTATTATAAATAAGTATAAATGCATATAGTTATCACAGTACTACTAACATGGTACTCCTGTCTGAAGACGAGCAGAAACAACCAGCTCTGTCTGATTTCACCAGGTGCTCTTCACCTCTTCCCTTAATGCTTAACCATTTGGATTAGAGGCGAAATTTGAATGGTTGCTGAAAGATGATATTATTTTAATTTTGTTATATTTTCAGCCAAAATTACAAAACAAATGTCCATCAGGTGTATTAAATGTTGACCAATAAATTGTTATTGTTTTTTTCAGAGACATACAAAAATCATATTTCTGAAATGCTTCAGTTTCACATATTTTGCATACATGCATGCTGTTTCATACTCAGTGTATTAATATTTCTAATTGTCAATGCACTGTATTGTAAGCAAACACTGGCAGCATGACAGACGAAGATAAAATAATAAAGAATTTTAGTACATACTGTAAAGATACTTAGAAAATAAACCGCTGTTCATCATGTTTCATTGAAAGTAATGACTGAAACATCAAATAGTCTATCAGCAGTATCATTCAGTAAATGGTTTCAGTTTATTACCTCATGTGCTTCTTTATTGACTTTCCTGGCTGGAAATGTGTTTATAGTTATTCATATTTCAGCTTCTCTTTTGTTGTTTTATAATCAGCTGTTAATCAATAGCATTTCTTAAACCTTTATTATCTGTTTGTGTCAAAGTATGCGTAATAAAGAGTAAGTAATTACAGGGAAAGAACAGTGTGGAAATAACACATGTATTTGTAGTTTAGACATGTTTATTTGGGTTAGGTTAACATTAAGGAACATTTTAAAATGCATTATATAAGTGATAAAAAGGATTAAGACAAGCGAAAAATGTGTTACTATTGTTACAAAATGACACTTGTCACTTGTGAGGCGTAAGATTTCACACACATACTTCTGTTTACTTGCAGCTTTTTGTAGATTTACAGTCTGCATACTGTTTTTATTAATGCAATTTACACTACTCTTTTGCACAGTCTCAGTCTTACTTTTTGCTGTTCTTTAACTCAACCTCATATTTATTTATTTATTTATTTATTTTCTGTCTATCTAGTTATAAAATATAAAATAACATACAGATGACTAAAGCAGAAGAAAAGTTAAATTAAAGGTAAAAGAAAGAAAATAAAAGGCAGATACAATGAGCTCTCTCCTCACTGAAGAAGGGGAGAGAAGCATGGTTCCATTTGCTTTCCCTGAGCTTATGAGCCAGTAATAATTAGCTTCATTCAATTTCTCATATTGGAGTAACTAAATACCCACTGAAAGTCGTATGATAGTTTGATCCCCAAACTTGTGAGTTTGGACCCAAGCACACATACACTTGATCTCCTGTGTGCATCTGCAGGAATACTGCATTTCCTCCATTTTTAGATCCATGTTGTTCTGGCTGGTCATGATGGGTCATGGCAATCAAATGATTGTTCATGTACAGTTTCAGTGCTCCGTTTCTTCCAGAATGATAAAAAATTGAAAAGTAGTAAATTCCTGCGACAGGTGCTATAAAGACTCCTGAGGAAAAAGAAGAATTCTGGTCACAGTTTGTAAATTAAAAGTAGAAAGTCAACATCGCAAATCAACAATATACTTCAATACTACAGGGTGGGCCTTTTATATGGATACACCGTAATAACATGGGAATGGTTGGTGATATTAAAGTCCTGTTTGCGGCACATTAGTATATCTGAGGGGGCAAACTCCTCAAGATGGGTGGTGACCATGGTGGCCATTTAGAAGTCGGCCATCTTGGATACAACTTTTGTTTTTTCAATAGGAAGAGGGCCATGTGACACATCAAACTTATTAAGTCAGCATACAACAACAGTACTTGTCATTTAACTTTTCAGTTAAATTGAAAAGTATATGTATATATAAAATGATAATATCATTTTTTTCTAATTTATTTAGTTAACTCAAACAATATTGCGAGTCGTGCCTGTGTATTTATTATACGCATCTCCAATGTTTGTAATCACTCTTTTGAAGGCTAATGTAGTTTCTGTGTTGAAGGGTCCAATTGATATATCTCCTCTTCCTCCTGCTGCACTGAATATTACCTTTGTTCTTTCTGGAGAATTAAGAACAACATCATTAGTTCTAGTTTCAGTACCCCAAACCAAAATATGAGAATATGTTTTACCTCTTGCAGACATAATTATGACTTCTTTGACAAGAGACAGCATTCTGTCTTTTGACATTTATCTTGGATGAGTAATGTTTCATTGAAATTGATTATTTGTCCACAATTTTACCTTTGTATTGCAGCATCAAAATCTATTTTTCACTGTCTTTCAGCCTGGTTACACTGTCGTTCAGCCTGGTCTCACTCTCCTTCAGCCTAGTTTCACTGTACTCCAGCCTGGTTGTAGTTTCCTTAAGCCTGGTCTCACTGTCCTTAAGTATGGCTTCCATAGATCTAACTTTTTCTGTCATGACTCCAAATTCTTTCAAGAAATTATAAATGTCAGGATGGCACATCTGTGTTCCAGTAGCATTTTCACTATCACTCTGTGACAGACTCAAGCCACAGAACAGAAAAATAAACCATAAAGCGCTCATCGTCTAAGCTGAATCAGCATCACACAATCTTCAAACCTCTGATTAACATGGTTGATGCTCCTTTTATGCAGTTAATCATTAACATATCAATAGACTTGTTTTTAAATCTTTTGTGTATCTGTGTAACTGCACAAGTTGAACCCAGATCAATAAGGAACTAGTACACTTACTGGCAAAACACTTTTAGTGTAGCTAAAAACTAATTGCTTCAAACGAGAGATCATTCCAAGAGATAAAGTCTAAACAGATTTTTTTATGAGAGAGTGTAAACATTGCCACCATTTAGTTGTATTTCTGCTGAACGGTCAAAGTTCTCCATCAACACCAGTTGCTGCATTGAATACAACCTTATTTTCTTCCTGTTATTGTGCCATTTTATTATTTTATTATCAGATTATTGCAGTTTTGAGCCTAGCCTCACTCCCAACTCATTACCTCAGGACTCTTTGATGTCACATTTTAAGGGCTTGAGTGCTCAATGTGCACATGTAAGTTTGGGAGCTGGGGTATATAAACACAAACCGTGATCTTTTATGATTTTGTTTTCACGTTTGCTTCTTTTAGCCTGACCTCACTCCAAACTCATTAACTCAGGACTGTCACGTTTTGAGGTTCTGGATAGCCTTTACTATTTGTATTTGTGTTTGTGAACTAACTTATTTTAAACTATGAACTTTTCCTCAATCTAACAAATTAAATTTGGAGGCTAGTTGGCTCTATCCTACCGTATTATTTTCATTGTTTACTGTCATGGTGCCAAACTCTAAGATAAATAAACCGTCACTAAAAGTATGGTTGAAGTAAGTCAATGTGGCCTTGAATGTTATCAGTTTGTCAAAAATATACAAAAAAAATTTAGTATAAATAATTATACATGCAGGCAAGCAAAGTTTCAGCGTGGTATGTCTCAGTGGAGCTCTATTGCCAGATACCTCGTTGACCTTTGTGAGTGTAATGACACCAAAAAGACATTTTTTGTAATTTAAGAATTTCAAATCTTAAAATTGAATTGAAATTGATAGAGACAATATAAATCACATATAAATCTTTTCACAAGAAAAGATGAATGAGCAGAGTAGTGTGACATCAGTTGCCACAACCTTAGAAATGTTCACACACTGAAAGATCATTAAGTTCAGAATGTCTTTTGCTATAGTAGACATCACCACATGCACCTGCAGCACTGACTCACCCTCCCAAGAGAAGGATCCCACAGCATTTATATGCTGCTATTATGTAGCTTCTCTAAAAAAGTGGAGTAGTGGAAAACTGGTGTGGAAATGCATTAATTTTGATGTTCCTTCCACCAGGCCAGCAAAAAAGAAAAAAAAGAACCCAGTAGGAGTTGAGATGCTTGGCAGATTAAATGTGCCCCAACTCAAAAAAGCCAAATTAATAGCCAAAAAGTTCATAGTTACCCACATCATAATTACGCTTTCTGGGATCAGGCATCATGAGAACAAAGGTCATGCTTGCAATTTGATATCAATTTGCTGTGATAACACTACATCTACTCTAGAATCAAAACCATTCACCTCAACAGTTAATTGATGTGTTGGGTGTGATTAGCTGAACATGGGGGCAGAAGTGTAAGAATCCCAGATGAAGGGTGGATTGATTGATGCGCATCTGGTGAGTGGTTCAGCTATTCTGAAAGTCTTTGCAGGACCTGTCTCACATGTTGAACATGTTCCTCCAAACTGTTAAAGAAAAGTCTAAATGTCATCATGTCAGTATTGACGGCTGTCTTCCGCTCATGTGTTTCTTATTAGTACCAGGTGTTGCAGAGATTTGGCACTGGGTACTTTTGCTTCACAGTAATGTTAAGTCTTTGGTAGTTCATACAGTAAAGACATTTAGAGAGATACAGAAGGCAGGCAGGTAGTGGAAAGAGAAGCAGCTGGTAACAGAGCTATAATGCAGTTGCGTGGTTAATGGCGAGGAAGACAAAGTGCTACATACCTCAGCCAAGTCACAGTTTGGTACAGCAGTCAAATCTGGAGTTTCAACTGCTAGTGGACAAATGACTCCCTCTACTGGAGGAAGAGCAGATGGCATAACATAGATCAACCAGAAACCTTTTTTGAAATTGTAGGTTTAGGAACCTTTACCCATTAATGCTAAGCAACCCAAAAGGTGCTACTGACTTAAAAGGCAAAAAAAAAAAAAAAAAATGAAGTGACACGTGATGGCTAGAGGACTAGCTGAATGAACTAGACTGTGCTGAGTGACCTGGACTAGGATTTTTTTCATTTCAGAATAATATTTCTAATATCCCAGGAAGTTATTCTGTAGGGGATGTTAATCTGTTTCAGCACGCTGGACAGAAAGAAGGTCTAGGTTTCTGCAAAAGCAACAAGGGCAAAAGGGCAGTAAAGTAGGATTAGTGTGAAGTTAAGTCACTTACTGAGGTATATTTTAGCTCAGAGGAAATTGACTCATATTTAGAAGAGTTGTGGCTGAAAGCAGGTTCATCAGTGTCATGTTAAAAATTATGCAATTTTATTTTCAGAGACTAACACTTTGCCCTTTTGTGGTTGTTTAACTTTAGCATGATGTGGGACCATGAGAGTAAAAGCAAACTGTTTTAAAATTATATTCCAATTTATAATTTGCATTATACCATGAATGCTGCTGCACATTAAATAAATAATTCAAAATATTAGTTTAATGTTATCACCATTGAGTTGTTTTTATAATATACAAAGTTTGATGCTGTTTGGAAATCTTACAATTGACTGTGATTAATGCATCTCTTTCAGTCAGTAGTGTTTTAGTGATTTGTCTGAACTGTACAGCTCAGGCAGCAGCTGTACTTTAATACTTATACTGTTTTTAATACCTATTCTACGGTGGCCCTGAGAGGCCAAACGGACTGCAACTTCAGAAAACACTTGCAAAAAGGAAAATGCTGCAAAAAGAAAGACGCTGCACTGCAACTTCAAGAAAAACGCTGCACTGCAAAAAGAAAAACGCTACAAAAAGAAAAGCGCTGCAAAACCACACAAAGCACAACGGAAATAGGAAAAAAATTCCTGGGGAGACAATAACCCGATGGACCAGCTGCACGAACCAAAACATGATAACCAGTGCGCTAGGACTGGGACACGCTTCAAAGAAGTGGAGGAGAGGTAAATGTGTTGTAATCTCATGATTCTAATAATACTACAGATATCTGGAATATACATTCAAAGGTAATTCTAACAAAGATAATGTTTAATGTAGCCTTAGAAATGAAGCTTTCCGTTGTCTTTTTTCCTATTTCCGTTGTGCTTTGTGTGCTTTTGCAGCGCTTTTCTTTTTGCAGCGTTTTTCTTTTTGCAGCATTTTTCTTTTTGTAGCGTCTTTCTTTTTGCAGTGCAGCGTTTTTCTTGAAGTTGCAGTGCAGAGTCTTTCTTTTTGCAGCGTTTTCCTTTTTGCAGCATTTTTCTTTTTGCAAGTGTTTTCTGAAGTTGCAGTCTGTTTGGCCTCTCAGGGCCACCGTACTATTCACTTATTCACAGATCAAAAACATATCAGTTGTAGCTGGAAGTTTGTATTGTGGTGTCCATCAGCTGAATTTACTGTTCCTAGAATGCAGTAGCCATTATTCAAAGCAACACAAGGGCTCTAACATAAGGAAAGGTGTGTAAACATGCCCGGACAGGTTTTTGACGGGGCTCCCACACAAATGCAAAGCAGAAGATGAAGCATTGCCAAATATGTTTCCAAACCAACTTCCTTCCAAGCCAAAGACTAGAAAATATGATGACCACTTGCCTTTCGCTTCATCTGCACAGCGGTGGTGCCAAGGTAGGTCTCCCCGACAGAATTTGTTTCCCCTGTGTCAGGAGCACACGCTGGGCTGTCCAAATCACGGACAAACACTATCCCACATTCTTGATTTTTAGTTCACAAACACTTCTTATAATGACCTATTACTCCAAAAAAATTTGGAGATGTTAGCTCTTTATACAGTAAAGTTACAGTGGGATACACATAAGATTTTCAAAGATTTTCACACAAATTGGTGAACTTAAATCAAATCAGAAAAAATCAAAACACTCATATAAAATGAAGCTGATTAAAGGAGCACGTAGGTCATGCTAAATTACTCCTTACACCTTACATACTGTTCATATTTTATGACTTCAGACCGGTGGTGCCCAACCTTTTTTACGCCTAGGATCAGTTTAATGTCAGAAAATATTTTTAGTTGTCGCAGATAGTACAACAACAACAAAAAAATCATACGACTAAGACAAAAACTGTGGTAATATTTTGTAAATATAATAATAAACGCAAATTCAAAGTGGAATTGTGTAACTTTATTAGCAGCATTTCAGAATAAGACACACAACTACAACACGGGAAAAGACCCAGGGAAACCGAGTTAACAATAAAAACCCTGAAAACCATAAATTTCCACCCGAGCCTCAACTCTCACGGCCCAGAACCAAACGACTCACAGACTGGCACCGGTCTGTGGCCCGGGGGACCACTGCTTTAGAGTATGTTAAGTTTTGAAAAAGATAAAAAATTAAAGACATTTATAATGAATAGACATTCCTGATAAATGTCTATAGCAATTATCCAACTGCAGATCAATAGAATGGATAAATAGCCATCAATACATTGAAAAATGGATGATTAATCCTTAATTAATGTTTCAGAGAACAAAGAAAATATACTTATATAGGATTTGCACTTGTTTTTTTGAAAACCATCTGTTAATGGTGCTGTATGATACTGCAAATTTTGGTATCAATCTGATATCAAGTAAATGCAGGGCCATTGTTACCGATACCAGTAGCAATACTTATATATAGGTTAAGTACAAAGGCAGCTTATGTAGAGGAGAGCAGTGTGTGCATACATTTTAATGACCACTAAGTCACTCTGACTTTTACTTTCCATAACATTTAGCTTATACAACAAAA